GTTACTTGTTTTTGATCTTCAGTCCATGACACTAACTGAAATATATTGCTTTTTAAATTTTTTATAGATAGTGTTTAATATACAATTGTTGTATTTCCAATTAATATACCTCTTAATTATGTACTTCATTAATGGTTCTTTTATTTCTGTATCTTCCAAATAATGTTGTTTATTTCAGCCGCAGCTGTGATATGATGGAGCTGAGGAGGCGTTACCAGAACTTGTATATCCCCAGCGATTTCTTTGATGCTCAGTTCACGTGGGTGGATGCTTTTCCTATGTCTAGACCATTTCAGCTGGGAAACTACTGTAATTTCTACGTAATGCATAGAGAAGTAGATCCTATAGACAAAAATGCTGCTGTCCTTGATCCACCTGATGCTGATCATCTATACAGTGCAAAGGTTTGTATGCGTTTCCAGTATTATGGCTGTTCATTAGAATGTTTTTACCAATAGGGTGAAGAAGTGATTATAACTGAACTGAAAATATTCTACAGTTATTAGAGTGAAATACGGCATTTTAAACTTCTCAGAAAAGAGCTGCTACATAGAGCTTGAAGAATCATAACTAAAACTCAGTTTATTTTCCTGTTGCTAGAGCTGTCCTAAATAGTGTTTTTTACTAAGGTCTCTTCCAGTCTCTGTACCCAGTTGCACCGATCTGATTATAGGAAAGAAAACCAGCTCCTGCAAGATCTCTGAATGTATTTCTTAGGCAGTTCATTTGGAGTAATTAATGGAGCCATATTTTTTTTTTCTTCAAGGGTTCTTTCTCTGCAGCTTGTGCTCTTCGGTTTAGTGATATTTTTTCTTTCTTTCTTCTTTCAGATTCATCTCACTATTTATTATTTTGTTGAAAGTAGATTGAGACATTGGGATTGTCTGATGTCAAAAATGCTGCATCAAGGGCTGTAATGCTGTATTAAAGACCTCAGTGTCAAAACCTCTTCCTAAAACCTGCTTTATTTGAAAGCTCTTTCATTAAAATAGGACTGAGATTTCTAGGACAGTTTGTTTTAGAAGTATTTCTTGTACAATACAGGTTTATAACCAAAACTGCCTTTAACCCCTGTATTTCTGGAAGACTTAATTTTACTTGCCTTCAGAACTTTGAAGCCTTGGCTCAAGTATCAGACATGTTTGGTTTTTTTACAGTAAGAAAGGTTAAGCTTCAAAATATATTCAGTAACTGAAGAATAGCATCCTGTTTCATGATATTAATGTGTTTAGGATAGAAAACAACCTTGTTAGATTTGACTGGGCTAATGGGATGCTACAAGGATGCAGATGAATGTATTGGTTATTTCTGCTGTGATTGTGAGAAAATGGAAGGAGTAAGTTACTGAAACAGAAGTGTACTTGGTGTGCTTCTTGGTGTAGGGTATTTGGCATAGGGATCACACACTGCATCCATGTGGGGTGGAGAGAAGTCAGTCCTTGGCAGAGATTTTAACACTGGTTTCTACAGTTTTATTTTACCTTTACTTGTTTTGATTTTCTGTGACATTGAGGAAAAAGTACTGGTATGTATGTTTGCAAGTTGTGGTCGTTGTTTACAAGTCACAGTGGGAGAACTTCACCAGAGTAATCTGACTTATAACAGGTGATGTTGATGGCTAGTCCTAGCATGGAAGACCTTTACCACAAGTCATGCGCTCTGGCTGAAGATCCCCAAGAACTTCGTGATGGATTTCAGCATCCTGCTAGACTTGTAAAGGTAAATATGCTTCAATGCCAGACACTTCTGGCAATAAAGTTTGGTTATAGAGCTTTAAAGTATTTTTCAATAAGAGAGGAGTTTGTAGGCAGCTAAATAGTGGCTTCATTTTTCGTCTGAAGAGACCTAGTTTATGTGTCAATTCTTTTTCCAGTTCATAGGAGCTTTGTCTTCACTGCTTTCATATTTACTGCTTTCTTCAACTTAGTCAAACTCAAACAGTAGATATTTTCAGAAGCCTACATTTATTATATAATAATGACTTTGTTAGCTTTTTTTACAAGGACTTAGACTTTTTTTAAGGTTGCAGCTGTGAAGACAATACAAATGAAGCAACAGTTAAGTAATCATATTAAGTGAAACTTATTGTTACACTGATCAGTCTGTAAGTGCTGTGATGTTTTAAGACAACACAGACTTGTTTTCCAGTAGAACTCCATCATCTTAAAGCAAATGGGAGTACTTGAATTTATTCATATATTGCTCTTGTGGTCTTATCTTTTGTAGCTTTGCTCTATCACTTTTAAGGAGGAATGTCTGTAAATGTGTATCAGAATTAAGAGACTATTTAAATTAGTATCTGTGTGTCTTTTGCCTTAGAAAGCTTTTAATTGCAAAGGAACAAGCCTATACCAATAAGGAAACTTGATGGAAAGTCTTGCAAACAAGAATGAGTGATGATGTTTTAAACCTATTCCATTTCTGAAGCAATCTGTGGAAAAAAATAACTGAACTCTTTCTTGACTGACTTTCGTTTTTAGATTTCAAAATAATGTGACAGTTTACTCATGAATTTCAGTGTGTGTGATATGAAATACTCTTTGCACTTTGGGAAGATGACTCTTTACCCCTAGCAGGGGAACATTCAGAAGACTCTTTCTGTCTAGTTTTTAGTGGGTATGAAAGGCAAAGATGAAGCTATGGCTATTGGAGGACACTGGTCCCCATCCCTGGATGGACCTGATCCAGAAAAGGACCCTTCCGTGCTGATAAAGACGGCTATTCGCTGTTGCAAGGCTCTTACAGGGATTGACTTAAGTGTGTGCACACAATGGTAAGTACTGTACTGCAAAGCAAAGTACATTGTAGAAATGCTTGTCCGCTACCAGGAGCATAAAAGAAATGGATAAACCTCTTTGTCGGCTGCTCTTGGTGATGCAGGTAAACTACTCAAGGGATGTTCTGTTTTGTAATAAGCTTGATTGGTGCCAACTGTGCTGGATACTGCATTAAGAACTAATTAAAAATTCTGGATGTATTTTGACACATGCTGTAATTTTTTTTTTAATGAATGTACGTTGAAAATATTTTTCATTTTGTGCATAGCTGAAGAAGATCGTCAAGAGAACTTCATTTCATTGTTCTTTTGTTATAAATAAATAAATAGCCGTTCGTTACATAGCCATATTTTCTCTTGATTTTTTTTGTTCCTGTGTTAACGCTCATTGCAGTTTTACTAATACCAGGAAAGTCTATTGCTTGCTAAATTTGAACGATGTTCATTTGCGCATTAAACCCGTGTGTGCTAAACAAGTTCTGAAAAAAAGAATGTTGTTGGTTTTCCTCCTTTTCAATTGTGACACCTTTTTACAAATATGCCAGAAGAGAAAATACGGCTTCCATAATTTTTTTCTTTAGATAAACTTCAAGGTCTTGCAGCAAAGTTTCTTTACTTGATGTGCTACAAGTGATCTAGGCTCTTTAAAATGTATTGTAGAATTTTTTTTCCAACATGCTTCTTCCCTTGCAACAGGTACCGTTTTGCAGAGATTCGCTACCATCGCCCTGAGGAGACCCACAAGGGGCGTACAGTTCCAGCTCATGTGGAGACAGTGGTTTTATTTTTCCCGGATGTTTGGCATTGCCTTCCCACCCGCTCAGAGTGGGAAACCCTCTCCCGAGGATACAAGCAGCAGCTGGTCGAGAAGCTTCAGGGTGAACGCAAGGAGGCTGATGGAGAACAGGCACTGAACGCTAATCCCTTTTTCTATTTCTGCTTCTCACAGGCACAGGAACACAGGCACAAAATGCACACCACATACTACACCACATACATACATAGGAGGAACATAACTGGTAACAATGACTGGTAAACCAGCTTTCAGCAGTGTAGTGAATGTTGGTTTTTATTTTTATTTCAGCTAGTTCACTAACTTTAAACGTGTATGCTGATATCACAAATGGAATTAAATTGTGCTTATGATGCGCATAAAATTTTTTATCGTAGACGTAGTTGCTGGAATCTGGGACCAGTTGTTGAGTGAGATGCAGTTTATGAATAGCTGTCTTGAAACATTTTGCCATTTTCTAAAATTTCCAAATTCTCTCCTGTGGCCAGTTGTAATTGTGATATTTGAAACCGAACCAACACTAGTCTGAAACATCTGAATTTCAGGCCATGTGGCTGATCAACATCTTGGAATAAGGGAAGGTCTGACTGAACAAAGAGTAATTTTGGAGATTTAAAATCTGGGGGAAGATCACACACTGTGTGGTTGATGGAGACCAGCGGTGTCTGTGTAACCCCCGTATTCTTTGTGGTGTTGCTTATCACCCTTTTGTGTTCCACAGATCTGGCTTGTATTGGCTGAGTGGCACTGTGATCATTTATAAAGTGGTAGAATGTGTGTGTGAACTTGTCTAAATAATAACTTTAGGAGAAGACTATCTGAAACAGTTGTGACCTTGCACAGATCAGCAACAGAATTTTAAAAATAACTAAAATGCCTTCAAGCTTTCTGAATGATAATTTCTAAATTTTATTTGTCAGGACGAAGAGGAAAAGGATGACGGGGAAGCTAAAGAGATCTCTACACCTACGCACTGGTCTAAACTGGATCCGAAAACAATGAAGGTAACTAACGCTTATCTTACTGATCAATTTGATTCCATTGTACATTTTCACCCTTAAGGCATGACCCGAAATATAGCTGAGCAAAAAACTTCAGATGTTTTTGATCTTCCTTGCTGATTTTATAGTTATTAGGTGTGCTATCACAGTATGCAAGCGTGATTCCTGATTTTAATAAATGTATATAGCTAATTGAAATTATTCTGACCTTTTAAACGTTGTACAATTAAAGTGTATCACATGTGATACCTTGACTGGAAATTGAAAGTTCTGCAGTAATCTGGTCATATCCACTTGTGTTAAAAAATGTTGGGACTAAAATACTTTAATGTTAGCGTTAAAAGGCAATAATTATACAAAAATATATGTCAGCAGATGTAATAAAAATCTTTTTTGAAAGGAAAAATAGTAATAAACTATTTTACTGTAGTAAACCCTTTCCCTGCTCCTGTGAAAAGTCCCTCAGAAAGGAGTTATTTGAGGAAAACACGGCTTTCATGTTTACTGATATAAAACATACATTTAATGTATTACAGATTTTAAAAATACAGTTGACTTTATAGCGCTCTTAATTTTTACTTCGTCTTTTCTGCTAATCACATGCTTTGTTGATACCACTTACAGAACTTTGTATTTACCAGGTAAATGACCTTCGCAAAGAATTGGAAAGTCGAACCCTTAGCTCTAAAGGACTGAAGTCCCAGTTGATAGCTCGACTGACAAAGCAGCTGAAAGTAGAGGAACAAAAAGAAGAGCAAAAGGAGCTAGAGAAGTCTGAAAAGGAAGAGGAAGAGGAGGAGGATAGGAAATCTGAAGATGACAAAGAGGTTAGGTTTTAGACATACTTGGTTTAAGTCTTCTTAAATATACATAAGTGTATATATAAAAATTGTTAAATAGACGTATTAAAAAGTACAGGAATATACCTAGCTGTGTTGGGATATTGTAGTTCTCTGATTACTGGACTGGGAGCTCTTGCTGTAACTTGAGCTGGGGAGGAGGGCAGGTTCCAGTCTGTTAAAGGTTAGTGTCTCAAACTGTCCAGTTTCTTCATGTAGCTAATGGTTTGCTTAGGTTTGTTTTCACTTGTTATGAAGCTTTTATTTTTGCCTTTGGATAAACTTCCTGTGTATTGAAGTTTTTCCAGTTTTGCCATTGGTTGTTTCAATAATACTTAATGTATTTTGCTGTTTCACAAGGACAAACAAGATCTGTGCAGTAAGGTCAAAGCTCAACCACAGAAAAGAGGGATAAATGTATGGAGAATGTATTGTGTGTTAGTGGCTTTTAACCCTCCCTGTGTATTTCCTGCTAACTGATACAGAATGATTTGAAGTCTTACACATCTGTGTAAACCTTGTTGAGGGAGCTAAGGCCATGTGCTTGCTAATTCTGTCATCTGCTGACTTCTCCCACAGCTTGGATGGGCTTCAGCTATCATGGATTCTATTGCCACAGCTTTCTTTAAGACTAGAGGGGGGAGCTCTACCATGACTTTTTTCCATACTTGTAAGACTTTAAATAGTTCCCTCTTGACAATAAGTTGGCTGCTTGGTATTACACCTTTTTTATTTTTAATTTGGTTAGCATCAGTTGTGGCTCTAGGGATTGCATCTCTCATTATCAAAAGAGCTGAGCAAATTGTCTCCTGGTAGTTGTTAAAGCTCTGTTGGATCTCTTTGGGAAGACGATGTATGAAGCCTTTACTCTTCCTATGTAAGGAATAAGACAGCTTGCTGTACTGTACAGCTCTAAAAACACCCTTAAACAAACAAAAAGCCCCCTCAGGAGCATTGACTCCTTTGCTAGCTTCTATGCTGTTTCTTGAAGTGAATTGGCTTTAGTCCTTCCAGTGTCAAGTAAACATGCTGTGGTTAGCACCAGAAGATGTTGGAAGGTGCTCAGTGCTCTGGGGCTAGGCAACAATGCCCGTCCTGCTTTGTGTTGCTCAAGTTTCTGGTTGTCTTAGGTAAGTGTTGGCAGTCCTAATGCATAGGCTGAAACTTCAGCTTTGGAATGTGCTGTATGTTATTTTTTTGCCTCTTTAGGAAGAGGAGAGAAAACGTCAAGAAGAAATGGAACGTCAGCGGAAACATGCTTGTTTACTAGCACCAGAAGATGTTGGAAGGTGCTCAGTGCTCTGTGGGCTAGGCAACAATGCCCGTCCTGCTTTGTGTTGCTCAAGTTTCTGGTTGTCTTAGGTAAGTGTTGGCAGTCCTAATGCATAGGCTGAAACTTCAGCTTTGGAATGTGCTGTATGTTATTTTTTTGCCTCTTTAGGAAGAGGAGAGAAAACGTCAAGAAGAAATGGAACGTCAGCGGCGGGAGAGACGATACATCTTGCCTGACGAACCAGCAATCATTGTCCATCCTAACTGGGCAGCAAAGAGTGGGAAGTTTGACTGTAGCATTATGTCTCTCAGTGTTCTTCTGGACTATAGATTAGAAGATAATAAAGAACATTCCTTTGAGGTAATTTAGCTATGCTGCTTACAGTTAGGCACTCTGGTTTCTTTTAAACTGTGTGATAACTGCAGTATTCGTAGATTCTAAAAGTTTATGATAGCATGGCAGAATGAAACTAAAATAAGTAAGTTTCTTTGTGCATTACCTAGGAAAAAAATTGTCCTGCCTTTGGTACATGGTTTACCGTAGCAGTATAGTCACTGAATGATATCCAGAAGAAATGCGCAGGTGTTCACATGCGGTATTGAGTTTATAATTTACAAAGCTTGGCGATGTCCTCAGCTACTGCAGTACAGGAAAGAAGCATTTTTATAAAGTTGTTTAAGGTTTCTATATTCAAAGCAGTAACAAATCTGACACTGCGTAAAATTCTGACATGGTGAAAGTTGGTAAGATAGCACCTCGTAGCTATTTAATCATAAGTGTATTTTAAAACTTTGTGTCAGTTCTCCTTTTATTCTTCTTTATGTGCAGGTATCATTGTTTGCAGAACTTTTCAACGAAATGCTTCAGAGAGATTTTGGTGTCAGAATTTACAAAGCACTGATCTCCCTCCCAGAGAGGGAAGATAAAAAAGACAAAAAAAGCAAAAAAGATGACAGAAAAGAAAAAAAAGAAGAAAAAGATGATGAAACAGATGATCCAAAACCGAAGAGGAGAAAATCTGGAGATGATAAAGACAAAAAAGAAGATAGAGATGAAAAGAAGGTCTGTAGCTAGCTCATCTGAAGTACTATCCTGTCTGCATCAATATTGAACTCTTTATATGAGTTCTGCTTTATTGCTTTCAAAAATCAGGTCGTCTTAATTGATTTGAATTGACTTAAGTGATCATTATCTATTTAAATATCCTTCAGTCATACTCAGCAATTTCAAAAATTTACTGGTGTATTGGGTGTATTCAGATATATCACATAGGTTTGTGTTTGGTTTTTAATTGACTAAACATAGATGTAAATTTTGAATGAATGGTAGTGAGGTTTTTGCTTTACTGCTTTTTAGTTCTGACTGGATAAAGTTTTAGGAACTTCTATTACAGAGGGAAGATAAAAGGAAAGATGATTCTAAAGATGAAGAAGAAACAGAAGATGACAATAATCAAGAAGAATATGATCCAATGGAGGCAGAAGATGCTGAAGATGAAGATGAAGGTATCTTGAATTATGAATTTTGTGGCTTTCCGGATTTTTTTCATATGTTCTTTCAAGCTGAGAATGCAGTGGAACTATAAAACTTAAAATCACATTATTAGACTAATTTTATTCTAGTGATTCTGACCAGACCTACTTAAAATGTAAGTGCCTTTATGCTAGGTGTTGTATGAACATAATTAATTTAAACTAGCTGTGGTACTCAAAGTAAGGCATGCATATAGAAGTGGTTTTATTTTTTTCAGAATGCAGACCACTCGCAACTCCCATTGAAGTCAGTAGGAGATGTGAGTATTCAGCACCTCTGAAAAACCAAGCCACTTTTAAATGCTTAACTTCCTATTCCTCAGTTTTTATGTCATCCTGTATTTACTAGGCCAGAAGGTAGCGTGGGGTGCTCTTAAAATGATGTTACGAGGAGTTGATTTCTGTTTGGGTGGAGTTGTGTTTGCCTGAAGCCTGGGGAACTTTCCTGTTTCCAGGGAGCAGCAGTAGACCTCTTGCCCTGCTCAGAGATACAGAAAGGTGCAATACAATGGTGTATGCTTTTTGGTTTGTATCTCTTTGAGGTTTTTGTCCTTTTGTGGAGAGTTTTTGCTAGATATTAGGGTTTGAACTGCTTAGATATTGCAGTCCCAGCATTTTCTAAGTAGCATTTTCAGTTGTGTTTTTGGCAGAGTACTGCACCAGCCTTAAAAATTGATGCTAATCTGTTGTTTCCAAAACAACTCTTATAATCTGGCTGTGAAGTGCCTTGGGCTTGTCTGTTCCGTAGAAGTGCTGCTCCTTCCCATAATCTGTCCTTGTGGCATTCCCAGTCAGAGTTGCTGAGAACCATCCAACGTGCTATGGAGGTCCAGCAGAAAGCTATTGGTTCTCAGAAACAGTGGCAAAATTAGACAAGTAGTGTGCCATATAGTTTTTTTCCTAAAGTTTTCCTCAGAAGAAAGGTAAGCTTAAGGCTGAACTTGGCACGTGATTCTCTGACTTGCTTATAGGTAAGGTACAGAGATGCATGCCGTAATCCATCCCTGCAGTTGTCGTATTCTTCTTTCTCTCTTGATTTCAGATGTAGTTTTACTGTACTGTCTACTTCTAAAGAAAAAACCTGCAGTTTGTAGCTCACATCTCATAAGCAATGTGATCTGTAACTTCTTCGAAACGGGTTTTATGATATAAAAAATTTGAGAGTAAATAGTACTGATTTTGTCCTACAAAGAAGAACCGTAGCTGAATGCAGACTCTGCCAAGCCTCATTAGGGAGAATTGTGGTTGTTTTCTGCACACCACTTAAATAGATGGTGGTGTTGGTAGAACTCATTTTGGCCTAGTTAGCATTTGTTTCAGCGCTTCTGTCCTCTGTGTATGAACTACGGGGAAAACAAATGGCAAATGCCTTATGTTAAAATAAGACCATAGAAACATCAAAATTTAACAGGAGTCATTTAAATGCCATTCTTTTTTTATTTTTCAGGGAGTTATTAGTGTCAGGTATTTGAGGGCTTATGTGAACTTTTTAAATGAACATACATATTTTGAAGTAATGGTTTGCTGTGGGTATGTTGAATTTTCTTTCTGTTTTACAGACCGGGATGAAGAGGAAATGAACAAACGGGAGGACAGAAGAGAGGGAAGTAGGCATTGTAAAGAGAGGGCATCTAAAGATAAAGTAATTTAACATCTTTCTTAACAATTATGCGTAACCTTGTTAGAGGTGTCCTAATCAGAGCTTTGTTTTTATTGTAAGACCTGTTTGCACTTCTTGATTCCTTCAGCACTCCTGGACTGAAACATTTAGTGTATGTAGAAGTTAGGGAACTCGTGACAGCTTTGAGTAAGGTGCTTACATCTACTGTCACTTACATTGTAAAGTTCATTGCGTGAAAGCAGTTGGAAAGAACTTTTTTGTATGAGATACTGATCTGTGTGAAAGATGTGAGGGCTAATGCTGTATGTGTGCATGAGAGAGAGGAGATGTCATTATCCCTTTTTTTTCAGCTGCTATATTCTTACATAAGAAAAACAGAACCGTAGCTTGATTGATAAACTGCCTTTTCAGTTGCAAAGCTTGGAATCATTGTGATGTTTTTGCATCTCCCTGGAGGAAAACAGATGCTTTTTGTGTCACCAGGCCAGTTTAGATTAAGGAACAGCACAAGTTTGATTTGTTATGCTTAAGCTTTCTTTATAAATGCAAGAATAAAAACAAGTTTCTAATTATTTTTTCTTCGAGGAGATACAGGAATAGGAATAACGGGGAATAAACAGTCTGCAGAACTGCTGCAGTTGAGAGCTGGGTGCTCATTCATTACATGTTCATGGGGATTTAACTTTGAAAACAGCTGTTCAGTAAAGTACATGATAGAGAGGAAAAGGGATGTTTACTATTACTTGTTTAATTAGGCTAATTCTTCAATTTTTTACGTATTAGCAGGAACAAAAGGAAAGTGTCTACCTGATGTTACTGTCCACTGTGCTATAATTCTTCTCAATGTTTGAAAGATTACTTGTCCTAATTAGCTTGCTTATACTGGAGCTCAGTAGGTAAATGGTACTTAGAGTTATAATCACTTAACTGAAAGTAACAATAAAATGAACAGAGGAAAACTGTTGTTAACTGAGAAGTTTACGTGGTTTTGGTAGATGATAGGAAAATGGTCTTTTCATTTCCTAATGATCCCATAATGAATTTTCCGTAGGAGAAAGACAAGACGCAGATGGTCACTGTTAATAGGGATCTTCTGATGGCTTTTGTGTACTTTGATCAAAGTCACTGCGGATATCTTCTGGAGAAGGACATGGAGGAGATACTGTACACTCTTGGTCTACACCTGTCACGTGCTCAGGTTCTGTATAGTAATAGAAATCTCTTTGAAAATACTGCAGGAATGTGGTTTAGCTTCTGAAGGCTGTTGCTTACATATTAGATCGCTGATTTTTATGTAGCCGCTTCGTATTTACAACACAGTACTAGCTTAATCTTTTGTAAATTGGCTTGGAATGAAAGGGGAAGTTTTCAGCTCTTGCTATGCCCATATTATACAGGTAACTTTTATCTCAAAGTTGTAATTTTTTTCGCCCTAGCTTTTTTTCATTTTAAGCCCCAAAATGTTAAAAAAATGGCACAGCTTTTTTAATTTTAAGTTTTCCAAGTTTTAAAGCGTTCTTGTTTAGGTAATGTCTGTGTATTAAGTAACGCTGTATTTCTTTCCATGGCTGTGTTTTAGGTCAAGAAGCTACTTAATAAAGTAGTGCTTAGAGAATCTTGCTTTTACAGAAGACTAACAGACACTTCTAAAGATGAAGAAAACCAAGAGGAGTCTGAAGAGCTACAGGAAGATATGTTAGGTGGTATTATTTTATTTTATTTTCTTAATTTTAAATGTCACAGACTTCTAGAGAATTGTTTCTTTGCAAACGATAATGAGATCGGTCACTAAAACTGACAAATTACAGAAGAATCATTTCCTAATGCTACTTAATCTAATGCAGGAAACAGATTACTATTACCATCACCTACTATAAAACAAGAATCAAAAGCCGTAGAAGAAAATGTTGGCCTCATTGTGTACAACGGAGCTATGGTGGATGTTGGCAGTCTGTTGCAGAAGCTGGAGAAGAGTGAAAGAGTGCGGGCAGAAATAGAGCAAAAGCTTCAGTTACTCGAAGAAAAAACAGGTGCGACGTTCCTTCGAAGGTGGTACTTCCATGGATTCCAAATGCTCGGGCTCCTTAAGTAGATAAACCAATTAGAGTAATGTTTGTCATCTAAAATTTCTCAGCTATTTGTTTAACATAAACTTCTATTTTCTATTTCCCAAGTCCTTTGACCTTGCACACCAACTATTAAATACCATTGTCTCCATGCTGAAATGCTTCTATCTTTTTTTTTTAAATTCAAGTTGAATGTAAGACTTCCAAATGTAGTCAGAATTTAGTACTATCAAATAGTAATGCAATGCAGTTTTTAATGTTCTTTAAAAATTAGTTCTATGATGTTGGCGTGTAAATTGAATTTTAAGGTGCAAGGTACACAGCATTGGAAGTGACTGACTTTTTTTTTTTTTCTCCTCTGTAAGACGAGGATGAGAAGACCATACTACAGGTGGAGAACTCTAACAAAAGTCTGTCTACGGAGCTCAAAGAAGTGAAAAAGGACTTTGGCCAACTACAAGAAAAATTGAAGACATCGGATGATAAAAATTTGCAATTTGAGAGTCAGCTGAATAAGACAATCAAAAATTTAGCTACTGTTATGGATGAAATACAGTGTGTTCTTAAACAGGTTAGAATTGTTTCATGCCGTTTTTTATTATAGTATGCAAGCTTCCTGTAGACTAAATTATCAGAACAAACACTTGGGAATAAAAAAAGGATTTTTTTTTCCTGTCCTGATCTTGTCCATCCCCAATAGTCCAAATCTGATCTGATCTAACTTAATCAATTAGGAGTAATTTTTCAAGGCAAAATTTAAGCACTTCAGTTAATGTGGGAGTATTTCAATAAAACAAGTTTTAAGCAAACTGCATAATGCTCCAGAGCATTTCTGTCCCTGTTCAGAGAGATACTTCCATATACCTTAGGAATGCTGAGGGGCCTCTTAAGTAAGGCTGAACAGAAGCAGGTTATGACGGCTACTGAGTAGCAAAGTGGTACCATGTGGGAGTCTTAATTCTTAACCAGCTGTGCTCGTTCTGTCTGGTGGTTGAGATAAGTGTCTTCCATGCCTTGCATTTTCACATTGCTTTGACCAATATAAGTGTTTTGTTAAACTGTTATATTAAACTATTATTCTAATTTAATGGATTTTGAAAAAAAACGCTCTTAACTTGCTCTTTAAAAAAAAAATAAAATAAAAAATAAAACTCTTAACTGGGGGGGAGGGGAAATCAAGACAAAGGCCCAACAAGCCCCAGACCTTCAGACTGGAAAGTGAGTCTTTGTGGAATGTTTTTTGTGCTTCTCTTCAGAAGTGCTTAGGTCGCGTTTAATTTTTGTCCCCATGGTTTTTCAGGAAGATACTGGAAATATGAATTGGTTATAGCTGAACTGAGTGAGATACCAGTTCAGAGTGTTTGAAGTTGACACCAAGCAGTGTCTGTGCCGTGCTGCTTTACAGTTAACGTGAGAAATCCAATGTCTAGAATTGATGTTATCCTCTCCCTTTTTTTCTTCTAAAGGATGTTGTGAAGATAGAAGATAAAGATCAGAAATCCAAAGAAAACGGAGCCAACGTATGATAAAGCAGCTGCTGTTTAGACGAATGGTGTTACATAATGTAATATAAATCATGATACCAGAATGTATGGGAAGTGATGCATGTTTGATTTTAGTAGTATAAATATCTTAGTTCCAAAAGATGTATAAAGTTTTATGAATGTGAGTGTCTGCTTCTGAAGATTGCTTGTAATTCTTAGCATTCGATTTGAGACACTCCTTGAGTGAAAATAATTTTGCATTGCAAAATGTTTTAGGATGAACTTTGTTATAGTTTTAATCCTAATAAAGTTCATCGACAGTAGCAAGTATTTAATTACCAAATGTTTTTCATTAAAGTCTAGTGAAAACAAAATTTTCATTATTTATAGAATTGCCATTTTTAGGTTTTTATTTTTGTTTTGGTCTAATTAGTTTTTTAAAATTCAAACGTAAATCACAAAACAGCATGCTGCTTAATTTTGCAAGTAAAGATTTTTTTTTTTAAGAAAGAAAAAAAAGCTTCTTGGATTTTTTTTTTTTTAACTTGTCACAACTTTCTTTTCCCTTCCAAATGTAACTTTCTTCCCCAAAGCTGCTTCTGTTAAAGCCTCATAATATGCAGTAGTTCAGACAAGTTAAGAAAGCAATAGAAACCTACCGAAATACTGGTAGGGTTGTGAAATTTATATGAAAATACATGGGCCTGTTTTAAATGTATGTCGTTTGTGTTCCTTTAATTGTTCTTGTCTTTGGATTAATATATATGCTCATTTTTAATAAATGCAGTATATTAAAATGTATGGTTGGATACCAGGCCAGTAGATGTCAGAATAACGCCTTACATGGAGAGAAAGCTACCATTGTAAGCTGCCTTTAATTAAATTTGGACTTTTTTCTTAAGTTGTGTAATTACTTCAAAGACTTCAGCCCAACAAAAGAATGGATACACAGGTATCAATATTCCATGTCGTAGTTACTAAGGAGCAGGCCACAACTTGGTTTTTTGGAAGTGGGTAAGATTGCCTTCCCTTGTGATCACAGATCACTGCAGATCTAAAAAGTTAACGTGACATCATTGTCAGAGGCAACTTATTAAAATAATGTGAAAGATGAACAGTTGTATTTTGGTGTAACTTCCAGGAACACAAAGGGTTTTGAAGGTTGGGAAAGAAATCTTTAATTTTAGGAGACCTTTTCCTTATTTTTTTTAGCCTAGATGTCCTAGGTAACTCAATACCTGTCAGGAGTGCCAAGTGCCCTAGTGTGTATGAATAACCTACATGGAAACTCATGTAGCTTTATGCAGATACACATTAAAACGTCTGCATTTGTGTTGGAAAATATCTAAGCTGGTGCTTCTGTCACTTCCCTTTCTTAGCTCTTTTGGAGCTAGACAAGTAAAATAACATGCATCAGCTTCCCCCTCATTCATCTCAGCTGAGTCACTGTATGATACCTGTTCACACTCGAGTAGGAAGTAGTATAAAAACACTATTGTATATATAAGTACACAGAAAGTGCATGCTTTATTAATTGAGATAACTTCTCATTGGACTGATTGGATGAGGATGGTGAAAAATTAATCTTATGAGAAGCGTTAGCTGTGGTGTACGGATGGTGTTAACCAACTCTTTTGTAACCAGATTATATTTTTCACCTTTACCTATGTACAGACTGTGACAGCATGTTTCGTTTTTGACGTTGAGCACAGTTGATTTAAATGGACTTGATGGTGTTTGAAGTACTTTTTCAAGAACTTCCGGCAGCGATACTAGAATTCAAGATGACACCTTTCTAGACACACTGAACCGTCTGTTGGAATATTTGGGGTGATTTTACCTTAAACTGCTGAGCTGAAAGCAGTTGCTGCAACAAGCAGGCCTCATCTCGTGTTGCAGGGAGCGGCCCTGTGCGGTAGTTGCTAGAGGAATAGAGATTTTTACGGTATTGAAGGAAAAAAGTATTTGTTAGAATGACTGTAATCTTTCTCTATATTGCTTTGATGTAAAGGTGTTTCAGATACTATGTACAGTCTGTGTTTATGTTGAAAAGGAAATTAAAAGGGTAAAGAATAAAGGGGGATGGAAAAACCAACAAGAAAAAGCTTTATAACCTACACAGAGGTTGCCCAGCCTCCTGAAGCACAGCTGATCTGAAGAACAGACACTTCCACGGCCTGTTTAAGTTGCTTTACCAAACTGCACAAGGTTCTGTACACGCACAGTGTCAGTGCTGGTTGTTAGCTGAAGCTTCTTGGTAATATTCCCAGAAATGTAACTGATTTTTAAGAAAAATTTAATAGAATATCAGTAATAGAGGTTTGGAGGTTTGGTCTTCTCTCAGTTCTAATTTATGAACAGTGTTTTTGCATTTCATGTCCACTCTTCCCACCTCATGGACTTCCCACTTCCAAGTCTCTTCCTGTGTATCAGTTGCTGGCAGAAGGCTGGTAAAATTGAGCCTAAGCCGTCTCTTTGATGCTTCAATATCCGATTTGTTTGTCATTTAAAAATAATCACAGAAGCTCTGTGGGAAGTAGTAAATCTTAGACTTCCTTGTTCTGTAGAGAAAACTACTACAGCAGGCCCATAAATAGAATCTGATGTCAGTTTATAGTTTTTCTCTTCTATTTTGTCTAGTATGGGGGAATTAATGAGTTAAACCCTTACGAAGTGATCCTCAGACTGGTGGATGTCTGTGAACAAGGCTGGGAAGTAAATTCCAAGTGATGCATAGGCATGCAAAGTGGTCTGGAATAAAGTAAAACCTGCAGCCCTTTTGCTTTTGTTCTGGTAATGAAAAGACAGAATTGTATCATTTCAATACTAATGGTAAGAGTGGCAAACAGACTGAGAGAAAACCTTGGCAAAAATTCACTCAAGTGTAATGGATTGCATGCAGGGTAATGGAGCTGCTTGAGCATCCCTGCATGTCTGACCATGACAAGTCATGTTTTCTTGACTCGCCCAGTGCTTGATGCTTGAGCCTGAAGCACCTGGCACTGCTGCAAAATCACTTGTTTGGTTTCTCTGATGTCCTGGTTCAGCGTGGGGTGCCCTGAGGAGTAAAATGGAGAGGTTGGAATTCTTCGGTGCCTGTGGGTTTCCACAGATCCAGCGTTCACAGTTGAGTTGTTTCAGCATCTAACATTACAAAGCCCGGTCCTTTACAGTAACGTTTTTTCAGTGTTCAACTGCTTTTAGAGATTGATGGCTTTCGGTTCATCTTTCTGCTGAGTAATGTGCTGTACGGTATCTGTTGGACTTGGGTAACACAGTTCACTCTCACTGGTAATTTTATCAGCAATGTACACAAAACATGTTTTTTCTCTTACTTCTCTGTAATCTTTGTGTACCCAGGTTCTTGCCTTGAGCGCATTTGTTCAGCGCAGTTTGTATTTGAAAATATAAAATAATGCATTTTGAGTGGCTTTGTCTTATGGCCAGCAACAGACTGCGAAACGTGCAGGTACCACGGTCGGTGTGCTTATGCTAATATTTTCCAAAAAGCAGAAGTTGTTCAAGTAGAAATCAGCTGAGGCTTGTACATTGCCATGTAGTGCAGCCAGAGAAATGGCATAAATAATAAATACCTCTACTCAGCTATCAAAACTGCCAGTGTTTTCCCACCAGACTTGTGTTTCTGCATACTGGGCCTCGTTAGGTGTATTGCATGAAAGTAGTTACAGTAAAAATCTCTAATAACAAAAGGCATTACTTTCAAGCAAAAATAATTTTCCTTTTTTATTCATCCGCTCTATAATCCATGGTGTCATGATACAGAGTATAAACTCAGGGTTTTGGAACACACCATATGTTGTGTAGCGTTTTAACTGTGGATAGGAACATTGCTCCTGAATTTGTAGGTATCTAATACCTGAATGTGTACTGCAAACAGGTGACACTGCAGTTGTGTGCTGCTTTTGATTTCTTGTGTCCTGCAGGTTTTTAAATGGTGGTTCTCTTTAAGAAGTGGATTCTGACTTGAGGATTCAGCTCGAGTAATCTACAGTACGTGTAAGAACCAGTATGTTTTCAGGTGTGATTCAGTAATCCTGCAAGTTGTATCTAGCCCAAGATTAGTTCAGTTCGCAGGAGCTGGGCTAGCTGTCTTATTCTTGTGAATACCTTGGTCTGCAGCGTCAGGATGTGTTCACGTCCCCATAGCCAAGCAGTCTCTCAGTGTGGTGAGATCTGACCATTTCATTTCTCTGTGGGAGGCAAGTGATGTGGCACCTCTGAAAATCCCTTCTCTCATATGCTCAAAGATCTCAGCAGATAATGAACTGTTGTTTTGCAATAACTGGGTAATGCTCCTCTTGAGAGAGGGCTCTGAATATTCAGAGAAAGTACTTGAACTGCATTGCAATCAAGAGGACAGCTTCCCTCTTGGCTTGTACTTTCCCTGAGGTACTTAATGCCTTCTTTGCCTCTGTCTTTAGTAGGAAAACCAGCAGTACTCTGGGTACCCAGTCCCCTGAGTGGGAAGACAGGGATGGAGAGCACAGTGAAGCCCCCATAATCCATGAAGAGGTGGTTAGCGATCTGCTACACCACTTAGACATACAGAAGTCTATGGGGCCAGATGGGATCCACCCCAGGGTCCTGAAGGAGCTGGCAGAAGTGCTCACCAAGCCACTTTCCATCATTTAGCAAAGCCACTGACCATCATTTACCAACAGTCCTGGCTGACTGGGGAGGTCTCAGTCGACTGGAGGCTTGCAAACTTGATGCCCATCTACAAGAAGGGTTGGAAGGAAAACCCAGGGAACTCCAGAGCTGTCAGTCTGAC